GTCATTTTTAGGGTTTTGACTGCAGAAGGGCAATTTCTAATTTTAACCTAGCCAATGGAAAATTGGGTTCAAGCATGGTTTCAGGGACTCAATGGCATCATCTTTACCTAATCACAAGGTTCAAAAAATCTCAAATGCATTGGATTGACAGATGAATTTTCCAGTAAACTGATCAAAAATCAACTGTACACTGAAAAGTCAAACTTTGACTTTTTGGTCAAAATCAAGTGCCAAGGGTCATTTTTCATCAAGATGTGTCAAAACATGAAAATTGTTCACCAATAAACCTAATTTTGGAAATTAGGGTTTAAAATGGAAAATTTTCATAACTTAGAAATTTTCTAAGTTATGAAAATTTCTTATTTTTTCCCCAACTTTGCCCAACTTTTTCACCATGATGCAATTGGATCAAAACAAAACTTCCAACATGAAAGTTGTAGTCCTCCACAAAATTTAAAACTTTGATTCACAAAGTTTTCCCAAAAGATTCTTCGATCTCAAGTTATAATTTTGTGAACAAGGGTCCATGAAACTTTTAACTTAGTGAAATTTTGCCCTAGTTTAGGCAGGATTTTGACCTATCTTCATGGAAATTTTTCACATAGTTCCAAGTGGAATCTAAAAATGCATTTCAAATATGTATTTTAGAGCATGTTACAAGCTTTCTAAAATGTCTAAGAACTCTCCAAGATCATTCATGGTTAGGGAGAATCGAAGGATTGAAAATGGAAAATCATCACTTTTGGCCAAGGCATTTTGCACAATGGTACAACTTGCAAATCTGACCAAACCTTGCTTGTACTTGTTTTACAGGTCTTAAACCTTTCCACACTCATAAATTAAATGCAAACACATTGGATTAAGGCTTTATTCTGAGCTTTAGAGCATTGTACAAGGAATTAATCTAAAAATGGCAAAAAGGTAGCATTGCCACTTTGATAAAGCATGCTTTATGTCAAATTATATTTCTTGAGCCATGGACCAAAGTTCTTGCAGAAAACAAAGTCCACAAACTTTGGTCAAAGTACACCAACTATGTGCAGCTAAGAAGCAGGCCTGTACAGGTCTTATCATTGTCAATTCCAACTTTTCTTCAAAACCAAGCAATTGTGCAAAAGGTCCATAACTTTGTAATCTGATAAGAGCAAACTTGGTGCACATTTCAAACAAGTTTTACACATTATCTCAAGCCAGAAACACGAGCTCCAAGCCTCTCAAACACCCAAATACATCAAAACACCAAGTTCTTGCAAAAATAGGGCAAGTTCTGCAGATTCATTTCCAAAACCATTTCCACTCGTGCATTTTGACCCAAACCACTTCAAACACTTTCTAAACAACCCACCTGGACTATCCAAGTCATTGTTCATCAACAGTAACTTCATTTTCAAGCTTCACCATTTTTAAATTCTGAGTTTGCAGGTTGACTTCTACAAGGAGATTCAAGCTATTTCAAAGCAAGCTAAGCATTGGGAAAGGTCAAGGGAACATCAAGCAAGCTCAAAAGAACCTCAGGCCTCACTGAAAGTTACTGCATTGCCATACTCGAGCTTGACTGAAACAGGTAAATTTCAAACTTCTATCTCCTTATTTAGGAATCATTAGGCTTAGGTTTGTGAAGCAAAAATGTAGTCCTCATTGTCCTTGAACTGTACATATGGTTATAATTCATTTATGTTAACTGAACTAGGAGAATTTGGATGTTGAAGTTTCTGAAAAAACTAGGTCATAAATTAGGGGCACTGAAATTCTCTTTGGTCTTTAAGAGTTAGATCAAGTTTTTTATATGGTTAGAATCGTGCGATGATGAGCTATAACTTTCATGTTGCAAGTTTTTGTTTTTAAGCACGTATGCAGGAGTTACAAGTTTGAACACAGGGCGCGCGTTTTTTGTTTCTGGAGGACACGGATGAAGTGAAAATGGGTTGGGTCTGGCTTTGTCCTGCTTTTTGCACACCCCCCCCCCCTGTTTACTTCCTACACCCCCTTGGCCCATTGTTTTTATTTTTTCATATTTTCCATTTTTATTTTCATTTTCTGACTTTATTTATTTTTCTTGAACATTAAAAATCATCAAAAATATTTTCTTAATTTTTACATTTTTATTTTTATTATTTTTATTATTTTTTATGACAAAAATAGTTTATTAGGTTAAATACTTTTATTTTCTTAAATAAATTTGTAAATAAAATTAAAATACTTACATATTTTTATTTTTATTATTTATACACTTAAAAATAATATTGTCATACATATTTTATTTTTTAATATTTTTTGCATATATTTTTATTTATTTCTTGTACATAAAAATAAATAAATAAATAATATAATATATTTTCTTTTAAAACCAAAAATTAGGGTTTTCACCCTTTCAAAAATAATTATTTTATTTTTCTTTTTTTAGGACATTAAATAACTTATTTTTACATACATAAAATAAATACAAAAACATTTTTGCATATTTATATTTAATTGCATATTTAAATATTTGCTTATTTATTTATTTGTACAAATAAATTCAATATGTAATAGTTTTAGGGCTTTATTTTGTGCAAAATATCCCCCTATTCAAACTTGTATCCCCCTCTCCATAATAATGTTGTAATAGTCTTAGATTTACTTTTACGTATTTTATCGCTTTGATATGCATGATAGTAAAACTAGGGTTTGTATGATAACCAAAAAATCAAACAAATAGCTTGACTAAACACAAGACAAAAATGCATGAAAAATGACAACACAATGCACACAAGCACCCATAGGGTTTCATCCACTTGTTGCCTTAAAAATGGCCATGGTATGCATGCTTGGTATCTTGGCAAAACAAAACAAAACAAAAAGATCATAGTCCCTCGATGACGCTATCTTGGTTGCCTATACACAAATCATCTAGTCCCTCAAAAAACTTGCTAAGATACTTGGCACTATTGCTATCATGGTCATACGATGACCCACGCCCGTCCCGTTTAACATCCAAAGACAAGGTTGTTTACCAAATACAATGGTAAAACAACAATGTCAAAGGGTTAAAAATATGTAGGAAAGATCTTTGAGTAGGGTAGACAACTCCTAGTTACTTAATCAAACTTGTAAACCATCCTTGCTATTTTCAAAAACACACAATACAATTTCAAAACATTTCCCAAAACAAACTTTCAAACATTGAAACATTTTTCGAAAGACAAATACCTTTGTATACATTCAAACAAGAATCATTACAAAGGTTGCCACAACGATGGCCTCTTTTCAAAATACTTTCAAAACCACAGACAAAAGCACCATTTCAAACAATTGAAAAGAAAAAGCAAGTGATCTAAAATAAGTAAGTAAGAGCCCATGGAAAACCATGGATGAAAAGGGTGCTAGCACCTTCCCTTTTCATAATCTATCCCCCGAACCCAAAAACAATCTCAAAGGTCTTTCCTGTGCTTTTCGACCTTTCCTTTGGATAAAATAAAAAGTCGGTGGCGACTCTTGCTAAATCGAAACATTTGCGAACACAAACGCAAAACCTCAAGTCAGTTCCCCCACTGCATCACAATAGGGTTCTGAAAATTTTATATTTTAATTTTATAGTTTGACTAAGATAGCGCTTTCTATAATATAAGATATAGCAGCGCTTTCACGAGAAAGCGTTTTCTTAAGTAGGGAAATTTTATATTTTAATTTTTATAATTTGACCTAAGCCAACGCTTTTTAAAAGCACTTTCTATCATACAAGATCTAGCAGCGCTTTCACGAGAAAATGCTTTCTTAAGTGGGGCGAATTTAAGGCCTTTAGCAGCGCTTTGTAAAAGCGCTTTCTAAAGACTGGCTGTAGCAGTGCTTTTTTTAGCAAAATTTTTAAAAGACCTAGAACAGCGTTTTCTCATCAGAGCACTTTCTAAGGTAGAGCATTTAGCAGTGCTTTTTAAAAGCGCTTTCTAAAGGTTGTCTTTAGCAGCGTTTTTTTTTTAGCGAATTTTTTAAAAAACCTACAACAGCGTTTTCTCATAAAAGCGCTGTCTTTTTGGTGATGCCAAAAGTCAATTTTAACGTAGTGTTTTTGAGATGCACATCTCCTACTTCGTGCCTATGCTACTCTGTAGTTAGCAAGTTGTTAGAAATTAGTTTCATATTGTTAAAGGTGGTTAATATGGTTAAGAAGTTAGTTACAATCTGTATAACTAACCTTCACTCTCTTGAGCTATATATTCATATAGCTTCTTGTATCAATGTACACAATGTATAATCAATACAGAAGCTTTTGCATTATTCACTTTCTAATTTGATTTTATTATATTCTATCACCATCTTCATCATCTTCTTCCTCTCATCTGCATCTTTTCACTTTATTCACATGTTCATCATTATCACCATGATCATTGATCACTCATTAACAAAAGATTTCTTTTATTCTATGATCAACACCTATTAATTAAAATGTTTTCTAATATTACATATTTTTAAAGTATATGACACATATTAAATAATTAATCCACCTGTCCCAAAATACTACTTGCCATATTTAAAAAAAATTGATTGTCCAAAAATAATGTAATTTTAACTTTTATCTTTCAATTATATTTTCTAATTAATATTCTTAATTTATTATTTTTTTCATTTTGCATTAATAATAATTTGAATGCACCGATAATTAATAAGAATAATTTAATAAAGTCATTATTCTCTCTTTCATTTATTATATTTTCTAATCTCTAAAAATTTCAAGTATTACAACTAATTTGAGATGGAAAGAATATACGATTTTATTCGCACAAAATTGATATTATAAATACAATTTTTATATAGAAGTAAAGTTGATAATACATTTAAATCATTCTTACATTACATATTCTTTAGATAAAAAATGACACAAATTATTGTAGACATAACAAAATATATCAATTATTTGAATTACTCATTGATTGTTTAGACCCTGTGAATGAAATTACACACTTTATTGTAAATAGCTAGCTTTATTATTGGTGAGCAACTTCCTTCCTTATTATTCAGAAGTATCAATAGAATGGTGAGAGTGCAGGTGCAGAAGCGGTGAGTTTACTGTCTTGATAAGAAGATTGTGGAGAAGTAGCAAAGAATTGAAGAGAATGATATGGTGGAGGTGCAACAATGGCAGAGCTTTTGATCTCAGCCATTTGTCTACGAGCTTGACATAAGTTGGGAAGAAACACACCTTCACCAGCAGCAAGGTTGAAGTATAGATCAACAATATTGGGACAAGTTTTGTAACACTGAGGAGAACAAAGATTTTGTGTGAAACTAGATTCAACTAGAGAATCAGATGAAATTCCAAATGATTTTCTCTCCAAACCACAAGATTTAATACATTCATCACTTTCGATATGATCTTTCAATTTATCATCAGCTTCAATCTCTGACGTCTTACATGTATATTTTTCTAAACCATTTCTCTTCACATGCTTCTCAAGTACACAACGTTTTCCACCATATGATACTGCAAATGCGCATCTATCTTCCTTCAAATTCTCACATTCAATGCCTCCTCCTGCAATATTATTAATTTATTTATATCAGACTTCATTTTATGAAATTATAAAGTTGAGAAATCAAGTTACTTACCAAGAGTCGCTTGAACTGCAACAAAAAATACAAGAGCAATTGTTACCAAACATATCAAGCGAATGTTAAGAGCCATGAATGAAGGGTCAAGCACAACAAGACTATTGGAAATATACAAGTAGGAAGGAGGAATATGGTTTATAGCTAGTTTCCAAGGGTATTTATAGACCATTTTTTTATTGGGGAACTTGACACGTTCCCTTGAAAGAAAATAAGGTTGTTGAGTTTTCAATGTTAGTCATAATAATAATAAGGCAGAAAAAAAGAATGGTTCAACACCATTTAGACTCAATAATAAAGGTAAAATGCATCATGCATGGGGTTACTTAAGTTGTTTCATTTTGTCTCTATAAAATAACTTAAGTTTTATTTTTGGTCTCTATTAAAAAATAATATATTTTAATTTTTACAAAATTATTATGTACGTAATTTTAGTCTCAAATATTAAATTAATATGTATTTTTGAATGATTATTTTACAGATATGTTTAAAATATTATAAAAAATTCTTTAAAAAAAACTCAAAATTTAATTTCCAATTTGAAATTTTCATTACTTTTATTACTATCTTTTGAAATTTTAAAATTTCATAACTAATTCTTTTCATTTTAAAAAATTCTAAAATTGTATAAAGAAATTTTTTATATTTTTTTTTAAACATATATAAAAAATATTATTCAAAAATTTTAAAATATAAAAATAATTAAATAATTCTCAAATTTTTTAAAAATAACAGGAATTAAAATCACATACATAAAAATATTATAGGAACCAAAACATATCATTTTTTATAAGAAATAAAAATGAAATATGAGATATTTATAAAAATTAAAAATATATTTAACCTTTTTTTAAACTTCTTTTATCTTTTAATATTAAATTATTTTCAAAATTCAATATTAATTAACGGTTTTTTTATATAAAAATATTTCGACTTAAAGTAATTCCGTGTTTTTATTATATATTGTTGTAAAAAAATTTGTACCAAACTATATTTTTTAATGGAAACCAAACTATATCTTACTTTGTATACTACTATGGGAAAATAATACTACAACAGGTGAAAAACTGATACTATAATGTTTGGTCAATTGTTATGAGGTAAAGAGTGAGGCTAATGAAGAGTTGTTTATCATGTTCTGTGTGTTTTAATTTAGACAGGTAGTTGGTCCATCTTTTATGATTGATCGCCTCCTAAGTATAGCTCTGGTGTTTTCCATCACAATCTCGAAACTGTAATAATAAGACAGAACGTGCTCCACATATTACAATAGTTATGCTAACAAACCCTTATGATATATACATTTAGGTAATCGGTTCGAAATCTATCCGCAACAATTTATTTAGAACATAAATAACATTTCATCACGGTTATAATAGATAATTGTTGTAAAAAGTATTCATAATTTATTATATAATATCTAGATTGCTTGTTTTTTCATACACCTCACTAAAATAATATAACTATTAAAATTGATGAAGTATATAATATAAAAATTAAACTATTCTTGAAACCAACTTAAACAAATCACTGTTTTCTGAATTGCATGCGTCTCATAATTCATTTTCCGCTCTTTAACATATAAAATGTGGTTCAATGGTCTAAGCGTTTCATGGCATCGATTCTTTCAATTCCAGTTTAATTTGAATAACATCAATTTATATATTCTATATGTGACGACGATGAGGTAGACTTAGCCAATAATTAGATTTTATTCAAATTAAACTATAAGAGAAGATATCAATATAATGAAGGAATCAAGTCATTGAACCATATTCTATATGTTAAAGAGAGAGAGAAATGAACAATGAGACACGTACAATTCGGAAAACATTGATTGATATAAGTTGGTTTTCGAATACAACTTAATTTTCAGATTATAAGTTTCAATATCAATTTAAATGAATGTATTTTCAGTGAAAGGTTAGTGAAACAAACAATCTACATATCATATAATAATAATAATAAACTCAATTTCATCTATTGTCATAACTTGCATACGAATTTAAAGAATAAAGTATTGCTAAGTCACAAAAGTTTTTTTCTTGTGACTTAGCAATGTTTTGTTCTTGTTTTGAGAAGATTTATCAACAACAACACAACAAATACATACAACAAAATAAAAAATAAAACACACCTTTTAGAAATAAAACACTATCGAAATACAACAACACAAGCTATAATAAAATATTTTAAGAACACACATTTTATCAAAATTAATCGGGAAACTGGAAAAAATTATGAAGTTCATCTAGTTTATGATGCTATGAAAAAAAAATACAAGGTGGATAAAATTTGCACAATAACTTTATACTTCTTCTATTTATTTATTTTTTTATAAACAAATCATATGTATCATAACTAAAGGATGTGCTTTGTTAAGGTGGTGAAGACAAATCTAGAAAAATGAGAACATTCACCAAATGAAAAAATGAGAATCCATTTTTAACAAGAAACGTAAACGAAATCGGAGCATAAGGTGTGAGGGTTTATATAATGCCCCTAACGCGTGACAATTGGTTCCTGATTTCACGCCTGGATATGCGGGTCCGTGAAATCAGGTAACTGGCAAGACTTGGTCAAACCGGGCAGATGTTCCCGTAACTAGTTGTTGGTCCCAAGGAGGGGCCCAGTTACGGGCATCTCTCTGATCGGTTCCTGGTGGTCTACACGACGTTGATATCGGACAGGCTGAGAGGATGCCCGTCGGTCATCCTAGTGTTGGCTTGGGAGGCCAAATGATTGATATTGCCCGACGGATAGCGGGCGGTTAGGGTTACGGACGTGCAGGCCGTACCAAAGGAAAGGTCTAGACTGGGCCATTTAAGCTGTCGGGTCAGTCCAGAACAAAAAATATATCACTTTTCATCATAGTTGACAAGAAGAACCGTGATGCATTGATTGTGCTTTACACCACGATGAAAATAATAACCGTAATGATATACAAGGAGCTGAGATAATAAAGGAATTGAGATTCGAACTCTGTAACTCCTAGTACATTTTACTACGGAGTTTAAGAAAGACCATAGTAAAATATTTTTAGTAAAAACAAAAAAAATCCAAAAACATATTTCTACCACGTTCAAAGAAATACCGGTGTAATATTATTTGACGAAAGATATTTTTCGTAGTAGTGAAAACCAAATTATTACTATATTTTAGGTGAAATTTTAGTACCAGTTTGCCTTTAAATTTGATAATAGACATGCATGTGAATAGAAGTATGAAGTTTCAAAAAAAGAGGATAAGTGATCTAAAATTTTGGTGGAAAAATAATAATTTACCTAAAAAGTTAAAATTAGAAATCAATTTTTACCCACAATATCATAGTTCGGTTATAAACTAGAAACAAAATGTGAGGTGGTGGAATTTCGTCTCAGTTCGATGGAGTGATACTGCCAATTCAACGAAACAAGATGTAAAATTAGCATTCAATATTTAAAATATTAAATTATAAGGTATTAATAAAATATTAGATTTTTATAACATAAATATAATTATTTATTATTTATCTTTATTCTATTATTAATAAAAAATAAAATTATGAAAAAATTATTCTATGAAATAATTATATTATTTAATTTATTTTTCTTATATTATTAATAAAAAATAATTTTATAAAATAATTTAAAATCTCTTTTTTTCATATAAAATTTATTATATTTTTTAATATGTGGCAAAGTGTCTTAGTAACATAATAAAAAAATATTTTGAGCCGATCTAATAGATTGAATCGGCTCATACCTTTAATATGGTCTAATAAATATTGATCCAATAAAATAATAAATTTTTTAACGATGTGATTTTTTTAAATGTGTGTAAATTATTGATTAAAAATTTAATTTTTGACGATAATATTTAGTTATATGTATTAATATAAAAAATATTTATATTTATAAATTAATAAATTTCTTAACAAAAAAAATATTTTATCTAATATAAATTTTTTAATTATAATATAAAAAATGAATATTTTGGAATAAAAAATAAATAATATTTTTGTATAACATATATTAAATATTTAAATCTTTAATTCTCATAACGTGTTAACACTTATTTTAAATTATGACTATTTTCTTTTATTTCTTCTTCTTCTTATTATTATTATTATTATTTTATTTATTTATTATTATTATTATTATTATTATTATTATTATTATTATTATTATTATTTGATTTAAAAATTAAAGTTGTACACTTTAAAAGTGAATAAATAAACTATTTCAGATTGGAATTCACATCTCTTGCAGGTTGGTAAGAACCTGAGAAGTGACCGAAAAATGATCTGTAGTCGGACTGTGACGTCGAGGAGAAAAAGGGGTTATACCTGTAATGCACTCCGACGATCAAGTAAGAGTGGGAACAAGGAGATACAAGTAAAGTATTAGGTGGTGAATAGTGAATATTCGATACCCGGCCCTCAAAGGTGTGAGGGTTTATATAATGCCCCTGACGCGTGGCTATTGGTTCCTGATTTTAGCCTGAATATACGGGTTCGTGAAATTAGGTAACTGTCAGGACTTGGTCAAACCGGGCAGAGGTGCCCGTAACTCGTTGTTGGTCCCGAGGAGAGGGCCAGTTACAGACAACTCTCTAGTAGGTTCCTGGTGGCCTACACGATGTTGATGTCGGGCAGGCTGGGAGGATGCTCGCCGGTCATCTTAGTGCTGGCTTGGGAGGCCAAATGATTGATATTGCCTGACGGATAGCAGGCGGTTTGGGTTACAGGCGTGCGGGCCGTACCAAAGGAAATGTCTAGACTGGGCCCATTCAAGCTGTCGGGCCAGTCCAGAACAGCAGCCCCCCCCCCCCCCCCCCCCAAGTCGTTGCTTCTAGGTACATGAGTGGTAACTTTAACACCTTCTCGAGGAACATGCGCGTCTTACGGGTAAATGGGAGTTGCCTGTTGCGCCTTTCTCGCGGGGAGATGAGGAGTTGGCCGTTAGGACCTTTGAATTTGAAGAGGTAGCGTGTGTTGGGAAGCGTGCTAGCAAAGTGGCGCAATGATGACCTAGGGCTAGGGTGTAATGATGACTACCCTATGGTTCTCCGGGCGCGTGTCTTGTACGTGCGGAT